AAAATATATCCCTTTTAGTGTTTTTGAAAGATAAAATTAACAATTTCGTTAAATGTGAAGGAACATAATCTTGGACTGGACTCCACTGACAGAAGGTAATTATGCTAGAGACATATTAATCTAACACTCTCTTCTATATTTAACTTGCTTTCAGTTGTGTTTTGTTTCAGTTTTAGAGAAGTCATTCGCTATCCACCTTACTGTCCAAACCACTACAGTCCCTTTAAGGACAGTAACTTCAAATTAAAATGTGGAAAATCCATTACTAGTTGAGCAGATAGTTGATGAAAATTCAGCCTTTCTTGTAACCCTGAGTTCAGTGTATCTGATCAAACAAATAACCATATTCCCAGGATCACAGTGATGCAGAAGTGCCTCAGTTTCTAAATAAAAATAAACATACTAACCAAATCAAAACTTTGTAATAGTGCTGTCTTCACTCTCCCCGACTGGAAAATGGGTGAGGTAGTATTCGTTTCTTTTACTTTTAGTATTTCTTATACACTATACGTTCCTGTCCTGTCATCTTTATAGTAACAAATAAACGTGTATTACAAACGTGTATCAGACAGTAGTTCATATTTTTCAATAATTTTCACTGTGAGAGGCACAAGTTTTATCAGCTTGTTTTGAATGTGCATCTATTAAAAAGTTAATAACACAATGACTATTTAATTCTACTTTTCAATAATAATAATAATACAGATTATTAACCAGTGATATGTACAACAGTGACAGCAATGGATGCTGAAATTATTCAGAGCCACTTCACAAGTGACAATTTGGAAAACGCCTGAGCAGATACTCAGGAATTCCTGAGCAGTAATTCTGTTGAAAGAAAACTGGTGCACACAGAAGTGAACAATGTGAAACAAAAAAGAGAAGCTTTGCAGAAATCAGTTAAATACGAAATGAGAACATCCTTATTAAAATACAACTATTACAGATCGAGTCGGTATCTAGGCTGCTCTGTCTGCTCCCACTATGGGGAATAATTTGAAACTATAATATGTCACTGCTAACACAGCATTTTCAGAACACTCTTAAATGATTAGTCTTGCCATAACATGAGGAAACAACATTGACACAAAGCATTTACTGTAACAAACTACATTTCACAATTCTGGCAATTTTAACAATAAAAACTGCAATGTCAACATGATATCTACACTCTATTTTTTCTTTGTAACAAATTGAGAAGTAACACAAGGAGTAACTTCCAAAAGTAACATAACCAGAACAGTTGGTGTGCAATTTAACTGCTGATTTAAGTCAGCTACCTGTCATATATAACTCCCCTAGACTGCTTCTAAAATGAGCAGACATGGAAAGGAAGAGGAAAAACAAAACGGTCAACAACCAGCAGCAGAAATGCCTTAAACATGTTGAAGATCTTCTAGCTTAAATAAGGAGAAATTCATTCCAGGATCTAAGAGCTGTCCCAGTCATTAAGTCTTTCATAGGGAATCATCCTAATTGTCTCCTTAGAGTTTACCTATCTCATGTTCCTAAGCACTCCTATCCAATCAGAAGCTCATTTCTTTTTTGTTAAAGCTATGTTTGAGAAATTCAATTTCAAGCTGTCAGCACTGATAGCCATGTATTCTGCACCTACACTGAAGTCTGTGGGAGGGGGAGGCTGGAGAACTATCTGAAAGGAATGAATGTCTGCCTCTCACATGCACTTTTTCTGATTTTTAGGGGAAGAAAAAAGAGTTATATTACTGTAATTGTTCTGCCTGTTCCCCTTTTTTGATCTTGCCAACTCCCCAACAATATTTTGCACTCTTTTTTTTTACAGCACAATAAAACTCAAATTAAAAAAAAAAAAAACAAACACCCAAACATTTTCCATTGGAATTTTACACAGCTATTTTATCTACTTTATCCTCAATAAATTTAACTTACAACCAAAATAAATGAAAGCTGATATCAATGCAGAGTATCAACAACTACTCTTAAAAGACATTTTATGGCATCTGTCCACTGTGTTTTAGCAAAGATACCTGAAGTTATATCAAAACACTGCAATCAAACCACAATGCTACAAACCTCTCTGCAGAAGTCCTTCAGATTAAAAGACAAAGCATTCCTGACAATCAGTGACACAGAATAAGAACCAATCAACTCTCAAACTATCAAGGACCTGGAAGCTCCATTCCATTAAATGTTTAGGTCCCCTGAATCCAAAACTGAAGAGGCAAAACAGGAGAGAAAAACAGAAAGACAGGCAAAAGGAACTAAACAAACAGAACAACCTTACCTTTCACAAGCTCGGACAGTCCATGCAGCAATTATCCATAATGAGATACTAAAAACCAACAGTACAGTTCCTGGACATATTGTCATTAGAGTCTTCATAACAAAACGGGTATTGAAGTTTATCTTATTTAATGCTCCAATGCTTCTAGATGAGGCATCAGTGAAAAGTTTGCTATGCAAAAGCATAACTCTGGCAATAAGATATAGTCTTAAGAACATTGGTATAGATAAAATAATATCCACATCAGCTGTTGTTGTGGATGGAGCGTAAGAAAAGGCGAGCCGGGCTGTCCATGTGAATGTATAGTTCCCAGGTATGGGATGTATAGCACACACCAGTATTTCCAAGCAGATAAAGAAAATACGCTCATAAGTCATGGCTATTCTCCAGTCATCTGCTCCATTGTCCACCATGAACAACTGAAATAATAAAATATAAGGTTAACTTTAGTACGTCATTAACAAACCTTGTTATAATTCAATTTTAAAATACCATAGTTTTCAGAGCTGTCAATGACCACTAAAAAGAAAATAAATATGCCATTTCAGAAAATGACATTACTACATCACTATGAAGTGAAACATAACTCTGGTTAAGACAAAAATAATTTTTCCATGCACTATTTTAAAAAATGTACATGAAACTGAATTTTCATATATTATTTACTAAGAATTCCTTGTATTTTCTTTAATTGCCATTTATAATTAAACAAAACTCTGGACAAATTAAGCCTTGTTCCTTCAAAACCAATTGCTTACTCTAAGTTGATAAAACCGGGAAAAATTTAAGAAAGTGTTTTCAGAATGGATATCTGAATTACAAACTGAAAATACTTTCTAAGTTGCAACGTTAAGCCTGCCTTAAAGCATATCCATGCTTCAGCTAGGGTGATATTACAGCTTCTGTAGAGCTATCCAAGCTTTCTTCAAGCTTCGGGAACCATTGCAGATCAATATAGGGTGCAAAACTATGTGAGAAACTGCACAAACTCAAAAAGATATCTCACGGTGAAACTCTGAAAAGCAAAGGCTGTCAAATATTAGAGTAGCTCAGGCAGCCAGGTGATGTCTACTAGTAGCTGCAAATTAAACGCACATGCTGGCTGTTGCACAATTAAGGCCTTCAGTTTGTCACCCAGGAACAGATGTATTGAAACATTTCACGCTGTTTAGTAAATGATGTTCCTGATGATTTACTAAATAAATACTTACTCAAACAGCATTTGTCACTAGTAGAGAGTAGTGGTGTGCAAGAAGTTGCAAACAGGCAACTTTTTGACAAGGAACATAACCCATAATGACAAGGAAGATGCAATCTCAGTTGACAGGAGAAGACCTTCTCATCACTTCAACTATAATCTGAAACTAAACAAGGCTGTTCAGTAAACAGGTAAGAGGAAATAAAAATATCTTTGCAAGATTTTAAAAATTATTCAAAATTTGGGTGAGAAGGAAAGGTACACAAAAGATGCACTCCTTAATGTAAGAAAAGTGTTTTCAGCTTGCTACACACAATATACATAGCCAAAAAAAAAAAACAGTTACTCATCTGCACTGCTCTTTGTCCCTTTCCATCTTTCAAGAGTTTAAAATTATAAGCCTGACCTCTCTGTGAATGCTTTTTCAAGATGGAAAACACAGTCTACATCCTCCTTCCAATACATTGTTTATCTTTCAGAAAATTGCTCTAGTCATTTGTTTAGAAAAGTGTTAACCACAAATTAACTTTATTGTAGTCGAACTGATACTAAAAGAAATCGAAAACCAAAACAAATTAAATTCATGTATTTGTGGACTTGGTTTTCATCCCTTTATGTTATTTCCCTCCATTTTATGGTACTGGGTGTTGGTGACAAGATTTTGGTAGTGGGGGGTGCTTCAGGGGTGATGTCTGCGAGAAGAGGTCAGGGGCTGCTCTGCTGTAGACCCACTGCAGGACAAAGCTGAGCTCATCAGTGAAGCTGGTGGTGCTTCTGTGAAAGCATATTTAAGAGAAGGCAAAACACTGCCCAGGCAATGAGGAGCAAGGAAAAAAAGTGTGAGAAACAACCCTGGCAACGCTAAGGTCAGAGAATAGTAAGGGGGAGGAGGTGCTCCAGGCACTGGAACAGAGATTTCCCTGCAGTCGACGGTGAAGGAGGTATTTCCCTGAAGCCCCTGGAGAGGACCAAGCTGGAGCAGATACCTACACTGCAGCCCACGGAGGACCCCGCGCCAGAGGAAAGTGGGTATTTCCTGAAGGAACTGCCATTTGAAAAGAACCCACATCGAAGCAGATTCTCCTTATAAGATCTAATGCCCATGGAGGACTCATGCTAGACCCGGTTGAGCCTGAAGGGCTGCAGATCGTGGAGAGGACCCACACTAGAGCAGGGGGAAAAGTGTGAGGAGGAAGGAGCGGCACAGAGGAACTGTCATGGCCAGACTCCCATTCCTCATATCCCCCATGCCACTCACAGGGAAGAAGACAGAGGAGTTGGGAATGGAGAGACGTTGAGCTTGGGAAGATGGAGGCGAGGCAAGGTGTTTTAGTTTTTGTCTTTGTTTCTCACCATCCGACTCTACTTTAAACAGCAATAAATTAAATTAATTTTCCCCAGGTTGAGCTTCTTTTGCCAGTGCTGGTAATTGGTAAGGGATCTTCCCATCTTTATCTCAACTCACAAACTTTTTCATCTTACTGTCTCTGGGAGGCAGGAGAGTGAGAAAGCGGCTGGGTGGGGAATCTATCAGCTGGCCAAGGCCAAGCCACCACACTTTTGCATAGTTCTTACCTCCATTGCAGTACTATTAAAGACACACAGTGTTGAATTAAGCTAAAGAAACACTCAGTGAATTCAATGTATGAAACATGAGCACATAGGCTTTATTTTACCTGTGGTCATTCCTGCAAACTTCACATGCTAGATATGCGAATTGATACTGGAAGGCAAACTTATGTATGTATGAATGTATGTATGTATTGCTAAGAGTTTGGGTTTGCACTTAGCAAACGTACTACATGGTATGACCGGCCAAGCTGAATTTCAAGTACAGTAAGGCTCAAGTGCATTTGATTACAGGTTAATCTTGTGATTAGCCTGTAAATGCTGTCAGTCAGATCTCAGAAGTGCTACATCAGTTATGAAGAAGTCCAGGTATTTAGAACAGAATACAGATTAATAATAACCAGCTTGACTGAAAAAGAGATAGATAATATCAATTTTCTCAAACGCTGTCTGGGTTTCCAATGAAAAGAATAATATATTAACAGAGTTAAATATTCCAGTTCTCACAAGTATACGAAAATCATGTCAAACTGGTAGTGTTTCAAAATTTCTTTTAAAGCTACAAAATCTGTTGAAAAAAGCAATGGTCTTTTGTCCTTCCTTTTCACCGACCATCTTCACAGATTTCAAAAAGAATTCTATATGCAGAAAGGCAATTCAAGAAAAATGATACCTTAAGTACTAATTCAATTTAAAAGATAAGAATAGAAGAACATTGAGTTTAACTCAGGCATTAAAATTTGATCTTACAATTTTCTTAGAAGAAAATGTTATTTAATCACTGGGTTTTTTAAAAACTTTTTAAGACGTCATTATGGAATACATACTTGACATCATATTCACCTGTTAGCAGAAGAAATCCTAACATGCTACAAAGGAAGAAGTTTCTCTGTAGTGCTCAGTGGAACAGCTTATGTTTGCAGACACAGAAGATCCCTATCAACTTCCCTTGACCTCAGTTGTGTCAATTTGTTCTAAGGAAAATAATATTTTAAAGTGATAATATCTTCAGCCGTCATGTAACGAAATTTGGGAGGTGAAAACATGGAAGGTAGAAAAAAACAGAAGCCACAAAGGACCACAGATCCGGTACAAACATTTATATTTTATAAAAATATTACCATTTCAAAATCATATTTATGAGGGAGATTTCCTTACAATTCTGTGTCTCTAAATTCAAACTATGATGGATATCAAACACTCTGGAACAAATACGAGCCTCCAAAACAGGCTGTGAAAAACAATTAAATTGGCACATACTGAACTGACACAGAAATTAGCACACGATTTAGTACACATTTCATATACTTGCAATTATTCAACCTACTAAATGCAAGTTTCACTTTTAATTTGGAAGAAACAGAGGTATTTCTGCGTGCCTGTGTGCTTGGCTAGGTACATTTCATATTCGGAAAGCAAGGAAGGTAAGTGAATGAAGAAAGAATAGCTGAACAGCACAATCCGTACACAAAGTGTACGGATACACCTTCAGCTGCTTTCACTCAATCCTGTTATAATAACCATGCATATGCATTAATTTCAAGATACTACTCTCCATTTGAATAGAGAACGATGCTAGCAATAAGAAGAGGACATAATAAACAAGCGAGCAAATTCTTCCAATATAATTGAGTCCTGCACTCCACAGAGAAGGCCAAACCTCAGTCAAGGGCAAAGATGTTATGCCTCTTCATTGCTTTCACATTTCTTATAATTATTCAGTGTTGAAATTTAATGCAAGTACTTCATTAGTGTTCTGGAACGTTCTTCAAATACAGAACTCTCATACACCCTTACTAAGTCCGCACTCTATAAGAAAAATGTTGTTATTTTCACTTGCAATTATGTAATCTATTTCCAGCTTGTTGTATGTAAATGTAAGACATAAATGAATCTTTAACTTCAAATAAACTTCATACTTGCAATGCCACACAGTAAAAACATAAAAATAAATATCATATCATAGATATTTATATAGGTACGTGTATATTTACCTAACACTTTGTTAAATTCGTATAACATCAGATGAGAAGAAGAGAAACACATTCAAAGTAGACAGATTGCACACAACGACAACTTAGATCAGAGACTCCCTAAAGCTACTTAAAACAAAAAGAGAGAAGTTAATTTTGTAAATCTTTAGTATATCAAAACAGCCTATAAGAAGATGTTGGTGAATGCAAAGAACAAGGAAACTAGCAATTTTCTAAAAGTACCTTTACAATCCAGGTAAAAGAACAAATCTGAAAACTGTATCACTACCTTGCTGTAATACTGTGGGGATACCTTAACACAGGAATAAAAAAAGGAAACAATAAACAGTGATAAAGTAGCATCAGCTGTACTCCTAGAAGTGTTCCTTGCAGAAGGGGAATCAACTGTACTCACAAACATATTGTTGCAACTGTTTAATTTAAAAATACAGATTTAAAATAGTTAAATACTGGAGTCACCTAAACCTGATAAAACAACTGATGAGACTATGATTCAGAGTAGCAGAATAGAGCCTCTGAGCCTGCTGATTTACTGAAAATCTTTTTTAACCAGACATTTTTCTACAGTTTTTAATCCCCAAAAAATCACTTAAATAACCAAAAAGACCATTATGGTACTCAGAGAGGAAGATACTTTTTTTTGTCCCACTACTCCAA